GCCAAAATTGCAATGGTAGCCTGGGTAAATCACAGTGTATCTTATGAACTACAAACCTTTCTTTTGAGAGAAATCTAGTTAAGCGATCAGCAAGAACAATAACAGGTGTATACAAAGATGAGGAAAGCATGACAAGAAAACCCAGAGGTCAGGTAGGACAAGACAAATTTGACTTCATAAAAATTTTAAGCTGTACACTGTAAAAAATATAAAGAAGATCATAAAACAAATTACAAACCAGGAGATAATATTTGCAACATATAAAATAAAATGTAACTTTCCACAATGTATAAGAACTGCTGCCTATCAATCACAAATAACAATATAAAAAGGAGCGGGGCCATAAATATGCATGTCAGAAGAGAAGAAATATAAACAGACAGTATACAGAAAGATCCTTCATTCCACTAGTAAACAAATGCAAGCTAAAGTGAGATGCACTTTTTAACCCAGAAAATTAGCAGAAGTTAAAAATATTGCTATAATATTTACAAACACATAGTATTTGTGAAAGTATGAAAAACCAGACACTTGTATACTGCTAATGGGCGTGTAGATTGGTATGATCATTTTGGAGGGCACTTTGGCAGTATTTGTAAAAACAGTAAAACTGGTATATCTTTTGACAAAGCAATTCCACTTGTAGGAAACTATTCTACAAGAACAGTCTTATAAACATACAAGGATTTAAGTATGAAGAAGTTCATTTTAGCACTGTATGTGATGACAAAAAAGGGACATAACTAAGTTATCATCTAAAAGACAGATGGTGGGAATGTATACTGGTGCAGCCAATATGGAAACCACTATAGAGGTTCCTCAAAACATTAAAAATAGAACTACCCTACGATCCAGCAATTCCACTTCTGGATGTTTACCTGAAGAAAATGAAAACACCAATTTGAAGAGATATAAGCATGCCTATGTTCACTGCAGCATTATTTACAACAGCTAAGACACAGAAACCACCTAAGTGTCCATCACTATGGAACTGGATAAAGAAGATGTGATATATGTATACAATGGATTATCATCCAGCCATAAGTAATGAAATCTTACCATAGTGAAATAGGTCAGAGAAAGACAAATACTGGATGATTTTACTTATGTGGAGAATCTAAAAAAAAACAAAAAAAAAAAAACAAATGAACAATCCAAACAGAAACCAACTCAAAGATATAGGAAATGAACTGCTGGTTACCAGAGAGGTGAGGGGTTGAGGAGGGAAGTGGATGAAACAGGTAAACGGGATTAAGAGGTATAAACTTCCAGTTATAAAATAAGTAAGTCACAGGGATGAAAAGTACTGCGTAGGAAATATAGTCCATAATACTGTAATAACTTTGTGTGATGACAGATGAACTAGACTTATCATGGGATTTCACAATATATAAAAATATCAAGTCACTATGATGTACACCTGAAACTAAGAGAACACTGTATGTCAATTATACTTCAACAAAATAAGATGGATAAGTTATATCTACACAATGTAATATGATGCAACTTGAAAAAGAATGTAGGTTTATACGTACTGATTCAGAAACAGGTACAAGATATGAATATTAAGCAAAAAAGAGTAATGTTTACATAGCAGGCATTATTATTAGAGAAGTTAATATTCTGGATATGTATGTTTGCAAGAATGGTTACCACACTGTTATTAGCAATCGTCTTTGGAAGGGAAAGAGGGGCTGGTATTCTTATTTTCTATAGTTCTATATGATTTTAATATTATTTCAGAGAACATGGATTACTTCTGTAATTAACAAGTAAGGACAGTCTGCCTTCTGTTTCTCAGCATGATGGAGCAGGTGGTACTGGGCTAGTCCTCTCACCATAAACAACTATAAAATATCTAAGGCAACTGTAGGCAGTGAACAACGGGCGGTGCAAAACTGTGATCCCTAAAACACCAAACCCTTTGGGAAACAGTTCAGATTTGTGGTTACCAGAAGTAGGGGTGGGGAGAGGGTGAACTAGAGGAAGGTGGCCAAAAGGTACTGACTTCTAGTTATAAGACAAGTACTAGGGATATAATGCACAGCTCAATGACTACAGCTAACACAGCTGTATGTATATCACAAGGGGAAAGTTTCCTTTTTTGCTTTTCATTGCATCTGTAGAAGATGATGGATGTTAACTAAACTTATTGTGGTAATCATTTAAAAATATATGCAAATCAAACCATCAAGCTGTATGCCTTAAACATGTACAACGATGTATGTCAATTAGTTCTCAATAAACTGGGGAAAAAAACACTAGAAATATTTTTTTTTTACAATTAAAGTCTGTTCCCCTTTCATGAGGGGAAAAAAAAAGACTGATCTCTGAGAGAAGAAAATCTCATAAAATGAACCCACGATCACTTGGTCCTCAGCTTGGGAATAATTTTTCAACCATGACACAGAAAGCTGAATCCCAAGGAAATTACGGTGGTCCTGTTGTGTTGAGGAAGCAGAGGCAGAATTTGAGGTAACTGAAGGGGCTGGAATCGGCAAGTAGGGAAATGGACAGGAAGAAGTTGTACAAAGAAAGAGCATGAAGTACATGTGAGAATCTTCAGTGAATAGTGGAGTAAAGGCTGGATTGTACATATGCAGCCAAGACCACCACGGGGTGACCAGAAGGCAGCTGCTACAGAGTTGAGAGTGGAACAGAAAGAGGTATTAGAGATCCAGCAGTGGTGTTTCTACGCCTCAGGATCCGGGAGGTGGGAGTTCCAACACTGCCAGAGCAAAGAGGTTTTAACACCTTGTTAACACCCTTGGCAACCATCTAAATCTCCAGAGAAGCCACACCCTAGAATGAGAGCTAATCTAAATCTGCATTAATAGATCCTAAAACTCAGACTAAAACAAAATCTACAGGCAAGACAGGGCTTGGCGGTTGACTATCACCATATTACTGGGGCTTGGGGAACATCCTAGGTTTCTAAGTAGCTGCCTTAATAATATGTAAGAAACCAAGAGTACAGAAGTTCAAGATGATCAAGCAGTGATGTAACTGCCTTTTTAAGGGGAAAAAAAACCCAAAAACAAAAAATTCCCTCACCCCCAAGAAACCAATACTCTCCAGAAGAAGGTAACGAGATCAGAAATCTCTCTAACAAATTATCCAATGCCAGTGACTATAAACAAAAATCACCAGACATAAGGAAACAGGTATATGCAATCTACATGCAACAGAAATTGAATGTGAGATGGCCTACATGTCGGAATTGATAGGCAAAGATTAAAACAACTATTATAAACATGTCCAAAATATTAATAAGATGCTCAAAGAATTAAAGGGAAATATGGCCTTAATGAGTAAACAAATAGGAAATGGCAGCCAAGAAAAGTAATTATCAAAAAGGACCAAGCAGAAATTCTTTTTTTTTTTTTTTGAGAGAGAGACAGCGTGAGCAGGGGAGGGTCAGAGAGGGAGGGAGACACAGAATTTGAAGCAGACTCCAGGCTCTGAGCTAGCTGTCAGCACAGAGCCTGATGTGGAGCTCGAACCCACAAACCGTGAGATCATGACCTGAGCCGAAGTCGGAGGCTTAACCAACTGAGCCAACCAGGTGCCCCAGGACCAAGTAGAAATTCTTAAACTGAAAGGCAAAATGGTGAAATAAAGAGTTCACTGGATAAGTTTAACATATTGAAAGTGGCAAAGAAAGAGTTCATGAACTTAGATCAATAGAAACTAAGTAACTGGAAGACTAGAGAGAAAAAACACTAAAGATAAATAGAGCCTCCAAGTCATGATCTCACAGTTGATGGGTTTGAGTGCCACATTGGGCTCTGAGATGACAGCTCAGAATCTGCTTCAGATGCTGTCTCCTTCTCTCACTGCCTCTCCCCAACTCGTGTGTGCGCATGCTCTCTCTCAAAAATAAACTTTTTTTTAATTAAAAAAAAAAAGATAGAGGGGCGCCTGGGTGGCTTAGTCGGTTAAGAGTCCAACTTTCGCTTAGGTCATGATCTCGCGGTTCGTGGGTTCGAGCCCCGCGTCAGGCTCTGTGCTGACTGCCAGCTCAGAGCCTGGAGCTTGTTTCAGTCTGTGACTCCCTCTCTCTCTGACCCTCCCCTGCTCACGCTGTCTCTCTCTCTCCTAGAAATAAATAAAACATTTAAAAAAAAAAAAAAAGATAGAGCCTCACAATGTGTGTGACTATCTAAAAATTTCTAACATATACATAATTGGAATTCCAGAAAGAGAAGAGAGGGTAAGTAGGACAGAAAAAAGAATAATGACTGGAAGACACTCCAAATTTGATGAAAAGCACTAACTTACAGATCCAAAAGAGTCAATGAACATCAAGCAGGAATAACGTAAAAAAAAAAAACTACATTTGTGCACATCTCAATCAAACTTCTGAAAACCAAAGATAAAAAGAATATTCAAAGCAGCCTCCCCTCATAAGATACATTATACAGAGAGGCATATGAATGTGGATTTCTCCTGAGAAAGCAGTGGGTGCCAAGTAATAAGAGAACCACATTTTGAAGATGCTGAGAGGGAAAAAAAATTCAATCCAGAATTCTATATCCAGTTTTTCAAAAAAAAATCCTTCAGAACCAAAGATAAAAGGAAAAAAAAAAAAAAAAAGAGAGAGAGAGAGAGAGAGAGAGGCATTTTTAGATAAACAAAAGCTAAAAGAATTTGTCACCAGCCACCTGCTTGTGTCCTGTAGGCTCAAGAGAAATAATTATCAGCTGGAAACTTAGATCTACTGAAAAGAATGAAAAGCACCAGTAAATAAGTAGATAAATAGAAATGTCTGTATTTTCTTTCTGTTTGTAATTTACTTAAAAGAAAACTATTTAAATAAAAATAATAATAGGGTATGGTAGGGTTTATACCATATGAAAATTAAAAGAGAAGACAATCACACTAAACAAGAGGGAACGAGTAAATGGAATTATGCTGTTTAAAGATTGTTACATTTGTAAAGTGTGAAGCAGGAAACAAGAACAGGTGTGTAGGTGTTAAGTGTAAAAAGGTACAATACTGTGCTTGCTTCTGCAGCACATGTACTAATACTGGAACAATACAGAGAAGATCAGCATGGCCCCTGTGCAAGGATGATATGCAGTTCGTGAAGCCTTCCATATTTTTATATTTCTGTACTCACTTCTCCCCACGTGCCTCCTCCTCAAACATCTCCATGTCCCTCCCCTGCTCCCCCTGCCTTGTTGCTACCCATCTGGCACCTTTACAGTTGCCATTTTACTGCCTTTCAAAAAAATATTCAACAGAAACCTGGTGCCTTCAGAGGCTCTCTGATAAAGCAGAGCCTGAAGCCGGCTTCAGATTTGTGTTTCCCTCTCTCTCTGCCCCTCCCCTGCTTGTGCACGGTCTCTCTCGCTTTCTCTCTCTCTCTCAAAAATAAATAAACATTAAAATTAAAACAAAAATGAAACAAAAGAACAGAAAAGGCAATAAGCCATAAAGGAAAATCTTAAAAAACTGAATTTCATTAAAAACATTTGCTTTTCAAGATTCTGTCTTAAAAAAAAAAAAAAAGCTAGCCATACACAGTAAAAAGATATTCACAGGACACATATCAGACAAGGATTTGTGCACAGAACACACAAAAAACTTTTACCACTCTCTAAGAAAACATCAATATCCCAAATTTTAAAAATGGGCCACAGATTTGGACATTTCTCAAATGAGGATGAAGTACTAATAAAACACGTGAAAAGACATTCATCATTAACTACACAAATGCCAACAAAACTACAATGAGACCACGTCACACTTTACTAGAAGGGCTAAAATTCTGAAGACCAGAAATACCAAATGTTGGCAAGAATCTGAAACAAATGGAATTCTCAGGCATAGCTAGTGAGAGTATAATGTGCTATAATCAATTACTTTGGAAAATAGTTGGTAGTTTCTTTGAAGTTAGCAACATACTTAATCATATGACTGAGCAATTCTACTTCTAGCTACTTACCCCCAGAGAAATGAAAACATATGTCCACAAAAAGACTTGTACATTAATGTTCACAGCATCTTTATTCATAACGGTAAAAAATTAAAAACCCAACTAAGTCCAAGCCCAAAGTGATTGAATAAACAGAATGTTATCGATATAGCCATATAACGGAACACTACTCTTCAATAAAGGGAATGAATCGCTAGAAAAACACAACATGGATGAATCTCATAGAGATTATGCTGAGTGAAAGAAGAATGACATAAAAGCACACACGTTATGATTCCACTTATATGAAATTCTAAAATAGGCAAAACTAATCTTTAATAAGAATAATTATATCAGTGGTTGCCTATGATGTGGAGTGGGACTGAGGAGATTAACTGTAAAGGGGCACTTAGGAACATTTTGGGGGATGGAGACATTCTGTATCTTGACTGGGGTGGTCATTACACAGGGATATATATACTATCAGTACATTCAAATGTATTATGTTATTATATGTAAATTATACATCAAGTTAATAAAAGTAAAGGTATTAACTGTAAATAAATATTACCTTTTTCAACTATCTAAAATTATAAGTAAAAAAGAATATTCCTTTACATATATGAGAATTACATTAAAGAAAATAAAGGGTGGGACAGGAAGTATGGAGGCAGAAGTTTATGTCAATAGTGAAGTCCTCTCTATAGGTGTCATACTTTTTCCTCTTACCTGTTTCAAATTTATTTTTTATAATGGCCCATATTCATTAAGTCTTGAGCCAAAGATGGTTTGTATGTATGTATATAGATAGGTAGGCAAATTTCCATCACTGACCTTCAGGTTTTTATGCATCAGTTACCCCCATCAGCCAATTTTACGGGTCCCTGTTAATCTATAAACAATCCTAGCTGCAAAGTTTGGAGCCCAGGGCATCATCGTGTGCATATATTCAGTTCCTCTTAGAGAACTCTCAAGGGTTTGTGAAAAATAAATCAAGTTCTCTCTCCAAAGACTCATATTCTAGATACTCAGGTACCTTTGGATTCCAGGGCATTCTAAGATTTGGAGAACATCCAACCCAGAGAGAAAGCAGCAGGTAGATAAATTCAATCTGAGCATCCATTCTCCTCATATGAGCTTTTCCTTCTTTGTTTATTCTCAAGAACTAGTATGAGAGATCAGATAATATCCTAAACCAGGTCAAGAATTCCCAAGCTCACAGTGGGAAGTCAAGCTCCCAGTGAAAATAAAAGAACTGTCAAAGTTATGAAGAGAACTGAAGGTACTTAGAACTGTTTCTTCAACCACTGTACTACTGCATTTTTAGTCAATTAAGAGTGTATGCTCTAAACTTGAGTTGCCTGGATTTGATGCCTACATTCTTACCTGTGTCATCCTGGGCAAGTTCCTTCATAAAGTTCAAATTCCCATGGGACTTTTGTGACATTTAAATGAGATAATGTAAAGCACTGAAACAGTACCTAGCACTTGAGAGACACTGACTAAAAGTCAGATGGTTCCCTCAGGGTCCTCTTGGGAAAAGAGAACCAGACATGTGACTTTTCATATATAGTCAGGAAAAACACAGGTATAGCATTCTGAATATAACTTCTTTCTAAAGAGCTCAGAAAGCTATCTGGCAACATGGAGGCAAAGTATATGAACTCTTAGGTAATATGCCCTATGTTCCAAAGTTAAAGATAGAATGAGGAAGACTATAACAGAAATCTGGGCTCAAATCTTTGCCTGATAACTACAACCCTGGAAGCTACCAAATTCCTAAAACCAGTGGTTCTCAAAGTGTGGAACCCAAACCATCGACATCACCTGGGAACTTGTTGGAAATGCAATTTTCCATCTTTTTTCCTCTCGAACACAGAGGATTGGGTCCAGCAACTGGGTGTTTTAACAAGCCCTTCAGGTGACTGTGATGACTGTGATGAATATTAAAGTTTGAAAATTACTAGAACAAAGAGAACACCTACTCATCGACCTATCAACAGCATGAGCAGAAGATAGCTGAGTTCAACAGGGCCCATTTGGGGAATGAGATTCGTAATTTGTAAATTAGGCAGTAACTGATAAATCTGAAAGTACTGGAGTAAATGGAAGTAGTAATCAGTAATTCTATAAATTTATGAGCAATTAGTAAAGAGATAAGAGAGAGCACAAAAAAGGTGAGGGAGGGCAATAATGAGGTAGGCAGAGATACACACAATACAAATGGTCAGTGCCGAGGGGCCACTGGTGGAATGAATCATCAAATAAAGCAGCCCATCAAGGTATTTACTGCACTTACACTGAGGAGGGGAAAAAGTTTTACAACATTTACAAAATTTGCTAGATAGAAACCAAAGGACTTCTCAAAACACCATACAATTGGGGCGCCTGGGTGGCTTAGTCGGTTAAGTGTCCGACTTTCTCTTAGGTCATGATCTCGTGGTTCGTGGGTTCGAGCCCCACGTGGGGCTCTGTGCTGACTGCCAGCTCAGAGCCTGGAGCCTATTTTGGAGTCTGTATCTCCCTCTCTCTGACCCTCCCCTGCTCACGCTGTCTCTCTCTCTCTCTCTCCTAGAAAGAAATAAAAATATAAAAACAAAACAACAAAAAAAACACCATACAATTTTACTAAGTTTATACCCATATCCAGGGCTCCTTAAATTAAACAGGCAAAACAGAAGGGGAAATAGATACAGTTCATGGTTTATTCTAAATATCTGGCTGGGCATGATTCTTCTTTAGATATCTGTGGACTGAGAGGGAAGTATGAGGAGGAGAAACTGACTCAAAGGGTGAAAACAAACAAAAGTTCTTATCTAGTATGGTATGACAAAGGGACATCCATGTTCTTATTACCTACATATAGAATGCTGTGCCTCTCCATGTTTCCAAAAGTTCTTATTTCATTCAATATAAAGAGAAAACTCCTCCTATACAAGGGTAACCAAAGAAAGTTCAAACATTATTCATATATAGCTACTGCAAAACATTAAGAAAAAAAAATGGATGGGTATTCTAACAATAAAATGGGCAAAGAACAGAAGACAGTTTATAAGAAACATAATACCAATCATATAACCAGTAAGCATTAATACTTTTAGTAATCAACCCTATTGGTAATCAAAGAAGGAAAATCAAAACAATGAAATATTGTTTTTTGCAAAGTCAGGAAAAATTAAACCATTCAACCTTGATGACGAAGCTAGAAAATAAATACTGTACTCTTATATTCTGCAGCTTACATGGCACACACCCTTTTTTGGAGGGCGATGTGGCATTATCTGTCAAAAGTCTTAAAAATCTGCATGCCCTCCCTGACCTAGTCATTGCACTTCAAAAATGAACTAACAAAAGGTGTATGTAAAGGTTTCTGCCTGAGAAGGTATCATTTATAAAACTGAAAAGTCAGTAGCTTCCTAAAATGTCTAATGATTAAGGATTCAGCTAATATTATGGTGTGTCCACACAAATTAATATAATATAGCCATTAAAATTCATGTTATAGGTGAACATGGAAATGTATGCAGAACATATTTATTTCTAAGTGAACAAAGTGGATTACAAAACTGTGTGTGTGTGTGTGTGTGTGTGTGTGTGTGTGTGTGTAGTTTGATTTTATTTCTTTTAAAAAGCAAAAAGAGTTCACATATGTCTATCCGTCCATCTATCCAACCAGGACAGAATCTTTTCTTTTTTTCCTTTTCTTTCTTTTCTTTCCTTTCCCTTATTGCTAATGTTTGATTTTTCTAGTATTTCTAAAATGAACACTTACTTTATAATACAAAGAAAGGTTATTTTTGTAAAAAACAAAACACTTAAAAAGTATAGGCCTCAGAGTTAAATAAATCTACTTCCAATATCTGAACTGGAGTTACCAAACTGAATACACAGAATATACCATCCCCCATGCCCTGTGATCCCTCCTTAGTCTACTGTGTTCACTGCTATGGTTTTGGTATCCAGAATAGTGCCTGATGCATAGCAGTCAGTAGCTCTTAAATGGGAAAATGCCATCCATCTCCCATAAATCATAAAAGAATTACTGCCAGATGAATAGAGGACAGCTGGAAGCAGGTCATTAAGAGCCCATTGACAGCTGTCATTCATAACAAATCCACTTTTATTTTCTAGTTTTTAAGAAATCAATTTAAAAAATTCATTTGATGTTAGTATATAGGTATGGAAT